AAAAAATCCACTGTTTGGACCATTGGGTTAACAGGTAATGAGAGCCTGAATATTTTGCTTTACATCCTTGTTTTCAATCCACCATAGCTTAGTAGTTGACTCCATCTGCTCCACTGAGTTGTCATTTTGCACCATTTTGTAGCTTGCAAAACCCCTACCACTAATAGACCTCCTCAGTTAACAGGGGACAAACGTCATATTCCCTAGCAGCTGTTCCTTTGGGTTGGGGATGAAGCACGTTTGTGGTTATAAATCTTTCATAGCAAAGGCTTCTCAAAGTCCAGCAAGCTACTTAACTGATTGGAGTTCCAGACTTAATGAATTATGGTCCGGCTGTTGATCAGTGCTATGATGAGAGAGGCCGTGTAACTATGTAGTTCATTAGTTAGATCTGGTATCTTGATTAGCAGATGCTCAGTTCTGTACAGCTGAATGTCGGTGGCAGAACATAGCACGTGGCAGAGATTTGCCTTTTCTTATGAGTCAAAGCCATCTAACCTGGTAATGTCAAATTGGTTTCAGTGCAATGGGAACCGTGGTGCTGGATGGGCAGATCTACGTATGCGGCGGGTACGATGGAAACTCATCCCTCAACTCTGTGGAGATGTACTCGCCAGAAACAGACAAGTAAGAGCTTCAAAATACGATGCTGCCGCTTCTTTCTTTGAAAGGGATAAGCTGAAATAATAGACTTGAAAAGCCTTTATTTTCCAATATTTCACCTGGTGCCAAGCTAAGAATAGGTTCTTTAATTCAAAGGAGGTCAGTGGGAGGGATGTCTTAGCACAAAACTACCAGGAAGTGAAGTGGAAAATGCTAAACCCAGTACTTAAGTCTTATGAGATGTTCAGAACCTGTACATAATCCGCGGGACAGTGTATTTATTTGTATGTATGTCTGTGTGGATATGAGCCAGTACTTGCATAAGAATCATGCATTTGCCTTTCTCCTCATCTCTTCGTAAGGTGGACAGTAGTGACCCCTATGAGCTCCAACCGCAGCGCAGCCGGAGTCACGGTGTTTGAAGGCAGGATCTATGTGTCTGGAGGGCATGATGGCTTACAGATCTTCAGCAGCGTAAGTTATAGTTTCATAGTTGGTCGGCTCAGAAGGGACCTGAGAAGATCATCTAGTCCAGCCCCGTGCCATGGCAGGAAAGAGTACTCGGGTCAAACAACCCCGGCGAGGTGTTCATCTGACCTCTTCTTAAAAACCCCCAGGGTAGGAGCCTGCACCACCTCCCTTGGAAGTTGGTTCCAGATCCTAGCCGCCCTGACCGTGAAGTAGCGCCTCCTGATGTCTAGTCTGAATCTCCCCTCTGCCAGCTTGTGA